TGGATTAATACTAGATAATACTTAATGTAACGATAAACTTCTTGCGAATAAAGATTGTAACCAAAATGTTACTGAACTGTTTGATTTATTGTACAATTGTACAGTTATTTAGAAATCAGAGGTTAAAGGGAAATCAAGTGTAAAATATCCATCTAGTGAAGCTAAAGCTGAGTTATTAATACCAAAGCCATCTGTGACAGTAGATTCATTTTTTACAATTTCGCCATCTGCATACATTTTATAAAATAAGTTACCAGGGACAGTAGTAACACTACCACTCGTTGTTCCTGTAAACGCAATCCATAAATTTCTTAGAAGTCCTGCATTACCACTATAACTACTTTTACTTCACTAGATGGATTATTAGCTACAGGTTCAATCAAATTCGAAAGAACTTGATTGAATTTGTTTACTTTCAAGTGTTAGGTTTTTATTTGCTTTATTTGATGGTTTTTGTATTATTTGTTTTCCTTTGTTTATAACAACATCTTTAGAAGTAGATATTGCTGAAGTAGCAAGTTCTTTTCCTGCAGACTTTGCAGCATCTATTGCAGTTTTCCCTAAATCACTAGCAACTGCTTTACTAGCTAACGGTCGTGATGCTTTTAATGCATTAGTTAATGCTTGTCTCTGAAACATATTTCTTATAAAACTAAACAGTCCGTAACCACCAATAACATGTCTCTTAATATATCTCTTGTTCTTTATAATTATCATTTTATTTAGTAACTATTTTATTTAATATATTTTAATTAGCAAAGCTAATTAAAGTACTTTGGATCTGCATAGATATATAATAATTTAATTTATCTATTTCCTAAATTACTAGACAGCATAATCTTTATAGCAGATAATGTTCTAAACAAATCTGAAAATTTTGCTCGATTATATACATTACTAATCATTAAATATTCCACTTCCACTAACATTAATTATTTTTTGTACCTTTTTATAAAATTTAGAATCAATTACTCCTTGACGTAACAACTCATCACAAATTACAACAGCTTCATTTCTAGCTCAAGGTAAATTTTTGTTTGGAGAACCTTATTTTTTTTAAGGAACTAGTTGGCACTTTTAAAGGATTCAACACCTTCATTTTATTTGTAGAACCGCCTCTGAATAAATAAGAACACGGTAACTTGAAGAGGATCGTATGGTCATGTAACCGTTTAACAATAACTTACAATTATAATGATAACAATAATAATAATAATAATAATAATAATAATAATAATAATAATAATAATAATAATAATAATAGTAATAATAATAATAATAATAATAATAACAATACTAGTTGCAATAATAATAATCATAATAACAATAATTATAATAACAATAACATCAACAATATTCGGAGAAATAAGAATATCTATAACATTAAAATAATAAAACTAAAATATCATTGTTAAGAATAAATATAAATTAATGATTGACAAGGAAAGAGTCACTCATTCCAAAACCTGATCAATGGAGTGACACCAAATAAATATATTAATATTATTAAGTTAAAAAATAATAATATCAATAATAACTTTATTTGTTAATAGAGCAAAAGTAACAGCAAATTATTTTCTACAGTTATTATAATAATAGTAAAAAAAAAAAAATAGCAGTAAAGAAATAAATAACAATGATAAAAACAATAAAGTTTCTATAAAAATAGTAAAAAGAAAAAGTGAAATTAGAAAGCTAAAAGAAGTTAATAATGATAAAGCTATTAAAAATTTTTTTTAAAAACTTGTTTAAGTTTATTTGTTTTAAACGAAAGAAATGAAGATCAAATATTTTTAAGTTTTGACTTTTCTAATTCATTCAAAATGCACACAAGACTTCGATTCCATTCACTGATGCACTAATGTGTAATTGAATATTATCATACTTTAAAGTTTTATAGGAAGATGCGTTTATTTTTCATTGTTGATGATTCTAGTTAAATGTGAATGTATAAAACGAGTTTCAGTGATGAAAGTTGTAATAGAGAGAAGTAAAGTTTTATTGAGGGAGTTAAAAACAAGATTAGCAAATCTAACTAGTGCTGACATGGCAGAAATTTTAGGTTTTTTAAAGAAGTTTGAAATTTCTGTACTATGGGGTTAAAAATTTATTATTCGGATTGATTGGCGCCGAGCTGATATTAGTTTATTAATATTACAGTTGCCAATTATCCCCAAACAAGTCAACAGTAGTTGAGATGAGACTGAAAAAGTGCAAAATACAGATTCTTAAGGGTAGTTTTATCAAAATAATGGCCAATTTTTTTTTTACGGAGTGCGAAATGTTTTTACGGAATAAGAAAATACAGAGTGCGAAACATTTTTAGGAGTATGAAAATTTTACGAAATACGAAAATTATAATTATAATTACGAATTAATATTTACGTAACTAAAAAATAAACTATTTTGACAAAATAAGTTTTTATAATAAAATTAAATTACGAATTAATATTTAAAATATAATTATATTTACGAATGAATAAATACGTAATTAATAATTAAATTATTATAACAAAATAAATTTTTATCATAAAATTAAAATACAAAACAATAATTAAGTTAAAATTATAATTACGAAATAATAATTACGAAATATTTTATGAAGTATGAAAATGACGAAGTACGAGTTATATTTTACGGAGTATGAAAATTCCATGAGATGTTCTAACCTACATAAATATTAAGGTATTTAGCAACGTGCGTTGGATATAAACGTCTATAAATAATTTTAATTTTGGTTTTATAATTGTTGTACAAAGTTTTGTCTAAAAGATGAAAAAAATATTAGTTCAGTTTTTTCTAAGAGAAATTAATTTTGCATGTAGCCAATAAACTTAACCTTCTAGGTCTAAGTTTATATTCTTACACAAGGAAAGATGAGACCATTAATATGCAAAATAGCAGTATCATCAGCAAAGCAATGGACTGATGAGAAGTGTACAGAGTTATTTAGATCATTTATATAAATCAAGAAAACTAAAGGGCCACGAACAGAACTCTGAGCAACACCACAAACTATGTGTTTATTATTTTATTAGTAATCATTAATGCCAACAAACTGCTTTCGATTTGAGAGACTAGATTAAAACCAATTACAAGCAACTCCATGGATTCCGAAATGTTCAAGTTTAGAAATTGAAATGGTATAATTAATGGTATTGAATGCTTTTTGTAAGTCGATAAAAAACCACCAACAAAATGACTAGTATCCATTGCCTTTTTTATTATTTTGATTATACTTATTAAAGCGTAGCAAGTAGAGTGTTTTGATCGAAAACCAAACTGAAAATCATATAAACAGTTAAAAGAGCTCAAAAATGAGTATATTCTAAAATAAATTAGTTTTTCAAGGAGCTTGCTATTGTTAGAACATGAGACTTTTGAACCATTTTTATGTACTGGAATCGCACATAATAACTTCAAAATAATAGGAAAAATTCCATTTATAAAGGAGATATTAAATAGCTTGGAGAGTATATGAGAAAATGCAGAATTAAAATCAATAAGAATGTTTGTGGGAATGCTGTTAGGACCTTTTAATTTTCTAGGTTTTACTTTATACATAAGTGATGAGATTTCAAAACGGTTTGTTGGAGATATCAGTAAACTATAATGATTTGAATTTTTAAGCTTTTTATAGCTAATGTAGGTTGAGTGAATTTTATAATAAAGTTTATGAGCTACATTTGTGAAAAATGTTGCTGAATTCTTTAAAAATTCGAGTTAGTTCATTATGTGTGTTTCGTTAACTTGTGAGCAATTTAGAGGTACATTATTGACATTTTTGACATTTATTTGACTTTTAATGCTTTTCCAAAGATATTTTACTTTTTCTAAAAAAAATTTTTTGAAATGATTTTTAACTCAGTTTTATAAGATTGATTATAGTATATTTATAGCATTCAAAGATAGTTTTTAGTTTAGTTATAACATTTTCCCTTAAAAAAGGTTTCGAATTTGAATTAATTTTATTATTCCTTTAGTAATCTATGGTTCGAATTGGCGCTTGAAACTCTAAATACCATTTTTTTTAGTAATACATGACAAAAAACAGTGTTGTTTGAGAAATAAATGCTTCAAAACTGAAGTTAACATTTTTATTGGTAATGTCATTCCAATCAACTTTAAATCGGATTTAAAAGACTCTTTATTATAATTTTTAATGTTCCTGCGTTATAAATTATGATTACTGGTATAAATTATATGTTGAAATTAGAACAAGTAAGAAATTGAAGTAGGTAATCAGAAGAAAAAGTTGTTAGATTTTCTAAAATAATTTTATTAGTAGTTACATTTGAAGAATATTGTCAATGATTGTAGCAGAATGGTGAGTAACTCTCTGAGTTACTGACCATTCAGCTACAATCATTGACAAAAACTTTTCAAATGAGCGAGTATTATCAGAAGTAAGTTTAAAAATTGAAGAGTAGCAAAGTCAAAGTTTGACTGTATCAGATTCTTGTTTAACAATACATCCTAGATTTCAAACTTTTAGTGTTCAAAAATTATGACTTTAAATTTAAAAGACCTTTTTAAAATAAAGTTTTTTTTTTAAACATTAAAAAGCCTAGGATTCATGGGAGCATTTAAAAATATGAATGACATAAACTTCTATACGCTGTTTTTTTTATTTTTGTTTTTCGACAGTTCAAAATTTCAATAAATATAGTTTTAAAAGGTACAAAATTTTGAAAAATTTAAATATGAGAGAAAAAGTACTGAAATACACAATGTTTTTGTTGATGGAGCTTGTCATTTCACAAAGAGACGTATAAATTAATATGAAACTCATATCTGTTTACACCTCCATGTTCGAATGAGTAAGAAGTCAAGGACGTATAAAGATTCATATTTATCAACCTTGATCAAACTAAGATTTAATTTGACATCATTAAATATGCGCTTGCACTCAAAATGTCAGAATTGTAAAACCAAAAGTAAACATTTGTTAATGCCATTCATGTGATATTTTGAAGTTAAGATTCTCGGCGCTAAGAAAATTCTTCTTTTGTTCTAACAACTGAGTACAGTAATCAATCTTGTTCTTTGATGTCAAGTACTTGTTAAAAGTAAAAAACTTCCGTCAAAATTTAAAACATTTAGTATTTGATTGTAGTTTTTTTTTATTATTACAGTGATTTTTTTTTTCATTTAGTAAAAAGACAGAAACTGCTAATACCAACGGTGCAACAAAATTGTTTATAGTATTACTCTGAGAGTTTCAGGTACTTCTTTTATTTTAGTTTTTATTGTATCTCATCATGTGGTTGTATTTATGTTTATTCGTAACTCTTTTTTCTTTTTAAATAATGAATTAAAACAAAAGTAAGCTAGTTTGCATTCTAATAAGATATTTTGGATAAATTTTTTTATTCACTTTGCATATTTTATAAAAATGAAGAGGAAAACCATTCTTTTAAAAAGAATTTAAAAAACAAAAACGAAGGAGAATATATTGTTTCTATGAGTTATTTTAAAGTATTCATACTGTAATCTGATGAAAAGAAAAATGTATACGGTGCTGTATATTAGGCTGTGTTAAACTTATTTCATAGCATTTTTTAGAATGACATAAGCATCTTTAAAGTTAAGTTCTTTTTTTTGTTATATTTTATTTGTTAATAAAAAAACATGCTTCTTTTTGTTTTATTTAATATAAAGTTAAATATAAAGTTCTGAAAAAATATAACCTACAGAAATACTACTTATTAAATACAAGTTTAAGTTTTTATACGCTGCTATTATAGTTGCGTATAAGTTATTATGAGTCGATCCTTTTCAATAAAAAAATGCTCCTTAGTAATGCCCAGCCCATTAACCCGAATGTAAGACCAAAAATTTTCTAAGTTTATATTATTACTAATTTAAATAAAATTTTGTGTTTAACGATAAACCAATTTGCTTTTTTTTGTTTTATTTACCAATATATTTAAAGAAACCTTTCTTGGAAAAATTCTTAAAACCAATTTGCTTTTTTTTTGTTTCATTTACCAATACATTTAAAGAAACCTTCGTTGGAGAAATTCTTAAAGTAAAATTTTGAAAAACATAATCTAAAAAAATACTTCGTATTAACTACAAGTTTAAGTATTTATACGCAATATTTTATTTGTTTTATCACTTTGCGAACATTGTAACAGTCAATATCTTTAATTATATACTTGCATACAATGTTTTCTTGTATTGTTAATTTTGTTTTCAGTAAGTTAATTTTTTTTATTTAAAAATTAATTTTTTATTCACAAAAAATTTTTTTTTTGTGAAGTATTGATACTAACTACAAGTTATGAAAAACGTTTATTAAATGTCATTTTAACGAAATTGTGTAATATTCGTCTTCTAAGGGATCGTCCATAAATTACGTAACGCTAAATTTAATTTTAAAAAAGAAGTAGGAGATTTTATCCCCTTTTACGCGGCGGTTTATATTAAACTTAATCAGAGACTTTTTTTTTTAATTTTGATTTAAGGCTCTGCGATGGAAAACTTTTGATCTTTTTTGTTTTGTTTATTTGCGAAGTTTAGCGTTGCGTAATTTATGGGCGATCCCCCTTAGTAACATTAGAAAATATAATTATTTTTTGCAAACAACTTTAATTCTTGTTAAGTTAAAAAATTTTATTTGAAGTAATTACCTTTAAAAAAAGAAAAATATAAATGCATAAGTTTATTTCTGGATAACTAAACAGATCATTAAACTTTAATTAATTTAGCTACAATATAAACTGGCTATAGAGTTAAGGATTTTTGCAGTTTCTTTGATGTATAAAAAAAACCTCAAGAAACTACTACAAGTACTCTTCAAAGTTTAGTATGTTTAATTGAATATCAAATGAGAATGCTTAACAAAAAGTGCTGTGATTCTATCTTTGGAATAGCAAAAACGCATCAACTGTACTTTTTCTCTCATATTTAACGCATCAACAGTACTTTTTCTCTCATATTTAAATTTTTCAAAATTTTGTACCTTTTAAAACTATATTATGCCCTGCCCATCAACCCGAATGTGAAACCACTATTTTTCTGAGTTTACTAATTAAAAAAAAATTTATGTTTAATGTTACATTTTAAATTGCACTAAGTAACTTTTAGAGTTTAAAAATTATGATTACGTAAATTTGAAAAGTTTTTTTTAAATAAAGTTAATTTATTTTAAACATCTGTTCCATCAACCTGTGGTGATTAATAGGAGCATTTAAAAACATGAATTTTTTAATTTTCTATTTGCTGCACAGTGTTTTGCTTTAACAAGTTAGGTGAACAAAAGTCATTTCAAGAAATTGACTAACTTATATTATTTTCACAATTACAGTCCTGCATTGGTAATAATTTGCTTTGTTTATTAGAAAAAACATTCGACAGCAAATAGTAATAAACAATTAAAAAGACTCTAAAATGTAATTTTATTTTTGAAAAATTTAGTCACAAATTTACAGCGTTTGTGAAACCATTTAACAAAACTTTAAGGTAAAAATCATTTTATAGCAGAGACGGGTTTTACTTTAGTGGGTAAGTACTATTTAATTTTATTAAATATTCAAAAGAGATTCAATTTGTATTAGAATATGGTTAAAAAAACTGCGTTAAAATTGTAAAATTTTTTATTATTGTTAAATTTTTTTATTTTTGTTTTTCGACAGTTCAAAATTTCAATAAATATAGTTTTAAAAGGTACAAAATTTTGAAAAATTTAAATATGAGAGAAAAAGTATTGAAATACACAAAGTTTTTGTTGAAGGAGCTTGTCATTTCACAAAGAGACGTATAAATTAATATGAAACTCATATCTGTTTACACCTCCATGTTCGAATGAGTAAGAAGTCAAGGACGTATAAAGATTCATATTTATCAACCTAGATCAAACTAAGATTTAATTTGACGTTATTAAATATGCGCTTGCACTCAAAATGTCAGAATTGTAAAATCAAAAGTAAACATTTGTTAATGCCATTCATGTGATATTTAGAAGTTAAGATTCTCGGCGCTAAGAAAATTCTTCTTTTGTTCTAATAACTGAGTACAGTAATCAATCTTGTTCTTTGATGTCGAGTACTTGTTAAAAGTAAAAAACTTCCATCAAAATTTAAAACATTTAGTATTTGATTGTAGTTTTTTTTTATTATTATAGTGATTTTTTTTTTTTCATTTAGTAAAAAGACAGAAACTGCTAATACTAACGGTGCAACAAAATTGTTTATATTAATACTCTGAGAGGTTCAGGTACTTCTTTTATTTTAGTTTTTATTGTATCTCATCATGTGGTTGTATTTATGTGTATTCGTAACTCAATTTTTTCAAAAAATTATGAATCAAAACAAAAATATGCTAGTTTGGATTCTAATAAGATATTAGATAGTTATATAAACTTTTTATTTTTGTTATGCATATTCTCATTTTGTTCAGAAATTAAAAAAAAATAACTTAAGTAAAACTCATGAATCAAAAGTGCGACACTTTATGAGCAATTCTCATTTTAATTGTAATAATGTACAGTGAGCCAGAGATTAGCATAAATGCTGAAAACGAGTATTTGTGAAAATTTTTTTTTTTGCAAAATTTTATTGCAAAAAGTAAATACCCCACAATAAAAAAATTTGTTGTTTAAATCTTTTGATTTTTGTTTTTAGAGTCCTGCAAAAGTTTTTATGCTTGTTCATTTAAAAAACTTTTTTTTTAAAAAAAAAAAAAGAAAGAGAAAGTACTTATAAAATGAACTTTACCTCCTTAGCGCAGTTTTTTTAAATTAACTAAAATTCTCAATATACATGTTTTATTTTAAAAAACTTGGTACATGCTTTATTTTAGAAAACTTAATAAATGAAATACAATGAAAGGTACCATAAATGGCTCAAGATCTTTTTTCAATGGGATTAACTTTTTTACAGTGTCTTATAATTGTATAAGATTTTTTATGAGAAATATCTTGCGCAAAGTTGCGCCAATTAAAATTTAGCGGGTTTTAAACGTACAACACGTTTGTCATTTTTAAATTGTTCAAAGCACATTGTTGTTAAGTATAAACTCTAAATATTTATTTGCAATTACGGAAAGTGCAAAAAACAATAAAATTTAATGCTCTTCCACTTTATTAAGTAACGTGGGTTTTTTTATTTATAAACATAAACTTAATTTAGTTAATTATCAATTATATTTTTAACAATGTAAAATACGTATACTATTTAAAAACATTAAAAAACTATAATTATATTTTTAAATTGAAATTTTTTTTTACCAATCATTGTGAAAAATACAGAAATTACTCAAAAAATATTTCTTGTTTTGGAAAACAACTTAATCAAATCAGTTACCGACCCTAATGCTTGCAAAGTTACAGGGATCTCTAACATAGACTTCAAATTATTTTTTAAACAGTTTAACAAAAAATGTAATAACGTAAACAGAAACAAGGATAGATTTGAATTGCATTACAAAATCTGGTAAGAAAAAGAACTACAAACAAATGATGTTTGTTTTAAAACAGATAAATTAGAAAAACTCGGTCATAGAGTTATCTAATGTAAAAGTTTTCAATCTTATTACTAATTAAGCTAACGAAGCAAAATATTTTACTAAATAAAATAAAACACTGATTCAAAACCCTAATCCTAACCCTAACCCTGATTAGAAATGTGGATTGGTTCACGCACAGTAAAATTCTTTTTAACGAATTCAAAACACTCAATGTATTTTAACTTAATCTATTTCATCTGGCTTTCATCGTGAATGACGCATTTTTTAAATAAAGGTATTTTTAAAAACTGAAAAAAAAGAAGAAATTTATTGTTAATTAAAAGTAACCATCTGAAAATACTCAACACATAATTTATTAAATGGCAAGCAAAAAAGAAATTGAAAATATATTAAAGGAAACGTTTAAAGCGCAAGAGTATTTGCCTTTAAAGATAGTATTATAAAATCCTTCGAAACAAAATGACAAAATGGAAAAAATTCTACATTCAATAGAAAATATAACAAACCGTACTTCAGAAGTCGAAAAAAAGCAACAAGGTTTACAGCAATGTATTGACAATTTACAAAAACGTATCGAGTTTACTCAAGATACCTTAATTAATGAGAAAATCGTAAACATCGAAAAACAACTTAAGAAGCTAATTAATGCGAAAATTACGACAGTTTTAAATCAAACAGTACAGTTAAAAACAATGTTGAACGAAGCAAGCAAAATAAATTATGCGTCTAAAGAAAAAATTAGAAAACTAGAAGATAGGAATAGAAGAAACAATATTAGAATTAATGGTGCACAAGAAAATGAATAAGAAACTAGAAAAACTGAAAAAAGTTCAACTTATAATTAATGATCAGTTAAAAATAAGTAACATAATTATTGGACGAGCGCACCGTATTGAAAAAAGCTTTAACGTAGAGAAAATAAAGAACCCAGAACAATCATAACTAAATTGCTAAATTATATTAACGAAGAAGAACTTTTTGGAGAACAAAAAGATGCTAAAAGGTACATATATTTTTATTAACGAAATTTTTTTATTTAAAACTAACAAAATAAGATGCAAGTTAAGTGAAAAGATGAAGATCGAGCGTAACGCTCAAAAATGTGTCGTTATGAGTACGATAAGTTAATAGTGAGAGAGTTTAATCTAAAAGATAAAGAAGGAATTTTATTTTTTATTTAAAACCATGTATAAAAACGTTAGTGATAAAAGTAATAGTGATAATGACACTGAAACAAACTGTTTTAACAAACTAATTTTTGAAAGTAAATACTAGAAGAAGGCATAAATAAGATTTTTTTTCCGAGCCCCACTAGTAGCGCACATAAATAATATATAAGCAAGAGTATTTAAAAAAAAAAGGACAATTTTAGAATGTTAAGAAATAGTTTTTCTTAACTCAGTTTGTTAATCTGCAGAATATCTTAAAAATAATAAAAACGCATCTTCAATTTTAATTATAAAAATCCGTTGTCTAAATAAAAACTTTGAAAATTAAAAAAATTTTATTGCATGAAATAAAAAATGATTTTAGCATTATTTGTCCAAGAAAAACGTGGTGTAAATGCGATGAACAAAGTTTACAGTTTGACTTAATTAATTACACGTTAGCTCATTAACCACGTGATAGTAACGTGGCGGAGGCGTTAGTATTTTTGTCTACAATTCGATTTTTTTCCTCCTGATGATTTATGCGTCAACAAAACAGTTTGTGAGTCTTTGTGAATTGAACTTTTTAATAAAACCACAAAAAACATAATTGTTAATTTTCTTTATAGAAAACAATTTGGTAGCTTAAAAAAGTTTAAAACTCACTTAAACACATTTCTAACTAATGTCAATAAAAAACGAAAGCGCTTTGATCACGCTTTGACCGAGTTAGTAACTCATGTAACCAATGCCTTCAATGATGACCGTTTTACAATAAGAGTCATCATTGAAGGAGTTTATTAATCTGTCTAAAGCCTTCGACAAAGTCAACCATGTCATTCTTTTAAAGAAACTTGAACATTATGAAATAAAAAACAATAATTTACTATGGTTTAAAGAACACTTATCAAATAGAAAGCAAAACACTCAATATGGAAATGTTAAAACAAAAAAAAAATTAATAAAATGAGATGTTCCTTAGTGCTCAATCATAGGACCGTTGCTGTTTTCTCTTTATATAAATGATCTGTTTCTTACCCCAAATTTATTAAATTTTATTTTGTTTGCGAAGACTCCAACATGTTTTATTCTCATAGTGATATTAAAACCCTCTTGAAAGTAGATAATGAAGAAGTAAGCAAAGTAAACGAATGGTTTATTTGTAATAAACTTTCACTTAACGTTAACAAAACTTTGTTCTATTTTACAAACCAACCAAAATAGAAAACCTTCCTTTTACCCATCTTAAAATTAATGGTATAAATATTACTAGATGAATAACTGTAAACTTCTGTTTAAAGTGTTATTTTAGATGAAAATTTATCATTGAGGAAACAAACAAGCACTCTTGAAAGAAAACTTTCAGTATAAGGTCTTTAAAAAGTTTATGTTTTTCCTTTATGTATAGCTACATAACTTACGGCAATATTGTATGGGCAAGAAAAGGCTACTGCTGAGCCACTTCTACATAAACTCAATGCATTATATGTGTTTAAAATCAACATAATCCTCCTCATACAGTTCAAGTATAAAGTAAAGCATGAACTGTCTCCAACAATATTCTATCCTTATTTTAGAGAAGTTAGTCATAAATACCCCACCAAGTTCTCAGAAAATAATTTTGTTACTCAAAAACAAAGCTAAAGTTATGCTCTTATTCTATTCAGTACCGGGGACCAATTTTGTGGACAAACGTTCTGCATATTTTTAATATTAAAAAAAAACATTTCCGCAATTCAAATCTAAATTAAGACATCATTTAAAACTAGCAGATTTTCTCTGTCACTTTTACAAGTTATTAAATTAAATTATAACCATAATTGAAAAATCTAGAGCATTTAACAAAAGAGAAAAGTCAATATTAAGAGTTTTAATATCTTCATACTTTCATTGAAAATATTTACTTATTTGAAGTTACCTACAACTTATATTTTATAATATTGGAACAGAATTTTTATCGTTTTAATTTCGAATTATTTTGAAAAAAAATATTATATTACAATATATATATATATATATATATATATATATATATATATATATATATATATATATATATATATATATATATATATATATATATATATATATATATATCGAATTATGTTCAGTTTATAACAAAAAACAGAAAGTTTTGTCATTTTTTATTACTATACTATAATCTTTTTTTTTTTTTTTTTTTTTTAACATTCTAAAATTGTCTTTTTTTTTTAAATACTCTTGCTTATATATTACTTATGTGCGTTACTAGTGCGGCTCGGAAAAAAAATCTAATTTATGCCTTCTTCTTGCTCCAGCCATTTGTACTTTTTTATAATATTACCCATTGTAAATATTTAAAACATAATGTCCATTAATCAGCGGCTGTATTTTTCTTGCATTTGCACAACTTGAAGCTGGAACAATATTCGGACTGCTTTTCTGATGTTTTACTGCTGCAATCGGGTAAAGATAGTGTGAGATTTTTGCTTATTAGATAAGTGATGAGTGCTTTTAAAAAAATTTAAATGTTATTTTTAAATTACTTATTACTTATAATACTTGAGGTAAAATCTAAAAATGTTGAAAACACTAAAATTAAACAGCATGCACTAAAGTTGCTACAAAAAGTTGCCAAAGCTTACAATGTTCCTTTAGTTGATGACCTTTAAAAGTGCACATTTTTAGTTTTTGATAAAAATCTTGTTGCTTTTTAAGGTTAATATCAAGGTAAAAAAGTAGTTTATTGTTGCTAAGGGCGTATCTAAGGACTGGTTAATTTATGTAGTTATTATAAAAGCTTTAAAAACAAAACATTTATGTTTAAAAAATTTTTTTTTCAGTACATGAAAACTAAATCATTTTTCTTCAAAAATACAAAATAAAAAAAAAAGGTTTTTTAAAAATTATTTCTTATTACTTCTTTAAGATTAAACATATAAATGTTTAGCCGTTTGACAATAATTACAGTAACAAAATAAATAAATAAATAAAAATATACATGGCAGGAGCAAAAAGAAGGTATAAATAACCAAAAAGAAGCCTATAGTACACTGAGCCCCATAATATACCGTACCATACATAGCATAGGTTTTAAAAACCGTGTAAGATATTACAAAATCTTTTAAATACCAATAAAGTTTTCTAAAAAATGATGTTTTAAATAAAGATAAATGAAAAAAAAAAAGACATATTTACAAACAAAAAAAATTTAAAAAAAATTATCTTCCTTTTTCTTTTTTTTCTAAATTTATTTTGTTAGATTATAGAATATAAAAAATTATCGTCCAATATCTGTTCTTTTTGGTTTTTCAAAAATTTTTGAAAGGATCCTTATGAAATCATCTTCCTAAAAATAAAACACTAAATACAACCCAATATGGGTTCAAAATAAAAAATAATTCCACTGAACACGTTTTATCTGAATAGAAATATTGCAGATTCGTTTGAAAAATCACAATTTACTTTTGCAGTGTTCATAGATCTATCAAAAGCCATGGTAATTTTGTAAACTTACTTAAGAGCTATTTAAGCGATCGTCAACAGTATGTGCAAACTGCTGTATCCTCTACTACAAATTTACTCGATATACCACTTCTTTTTCTTATTAATATTATGATCTTTATAATGCCTCAAATTTAAAAACAGTGATGTTTGCTGACGACACAAACTTTTTTCTGTCTAGCAATTATGTTATGACAGTATTTAATGACATGAACATAGAGCTAAATAAAATTTCAAATTGATTTAAGTCAAATAAGTCATCAGTTAACTTAAAAAAAAAAAATACTAAATAGATTCTATTTCATCCACACTCCAAAAAAAATCTCCAAATGATATACCTTAAATATATATATAGATAATAACCAAATAAAACAATCAAATAAAAATTCTTGGTGTTCTTTTTGATGAAAATCTTACGTGGGAAAATTATAGAGAAATCTTGCGCAACAAAGTTTCAAAAAATATTGGAGTTTTATATAAAGCAAGAAATTTTATAAATAGACACGCATTAATTCGACTTTATTACTCAATTATTCAATGCCATCTAAATTATTCAAATATCGTATGGGGTAGTGCTACACAAGTCAATTAGATCATCTTTATCGGCAACAGAAGCATCTACCACAACTCATAAAATTTAAAGATTGTTGTACTCATGCAAAACCACTTTTATTCAAAATGAGTATTTTTAATATATACCAACTAAACTTTTTTACCGTTCTTTGGTTTTTATTTAAATGTAAAATAACCTTAACTCCTATATCTTTTCAAAATTTATATGCAATAAAGCCCAAAAACAATTATGATCTAACAAATAAAGATTTTATTTATCAACATTATTCGCATGCAAATTCTGGAAGGTCTATTATATCTTATCACGGAGCTTTTTTGTGGAACGAAATAGTTTTAAATAATTTTAATTTCTCCAGAGGTTTGGATATTTATACTTTCAAAAACACAGCGAAAAAGATTATTTTCTCAATAGATAATGTTATCGAGTTTTACTGCTCTCATATCTCTTTTATAAGAGTTGTCTAAATGTAACTTAAAATATTTGATTTTATTTTTATAGTTTTGTTAAACGGTGTTTAACAAAACAAGTCACAATAATTTAAATCATGCAAACAGCATTAAAACACTTACAAATTATAAACAAATAAGATCATATCACAAACATAAAACACTCATATACAAATTATATTTACATAGTTACATAATATAAACCTTTATATTACCTTATTATATATTACCTTAACCCATATAAACACCTAAAAAATGACAAACAAATATTAATAAATATAAAATTTATAAAAAGTATATAAATTAGAAACTTTACAAATACAGCATTACTTTTGTAATGTGATGACATACCTCGTAATAAATGTTTAGCAACTAGCAAAAGCAAATGAAAAAACGATCTGGTTTTTTATATAAAGGGGAACAGATTTTAATAAGTAACTTGTAGTATTCTTTATATCTTAAACACCGTTATTTTGATTCTATTGAATATATTTCATAACAATATTGTCACGAGTGTTAGGCTGTAAACATTTGCAGCACTCTGATCAATTTTACAAAGTATATCGTTATATCATATCAAAGTATATCATTCAAATTAATAAACAGAAATCATAGATCTTTTATTGTTTCTCTCAAAATTATAATTCGAATAAAAAAAAAGTACCTTACTAGGGGTTAGCATTATAATTTTTAAAAAGATTACCCCTAAACTTTTTTACTGACATTAAAACATGTATTGAAAAAATATATAAGTATTTTTCGAAACATTATTGCCATATAGAACGTTTACTTTTTCTTGTAATGGCAATGACATCACAAAATTAATAATAGTTCGAACATGTTTTTCTGCAGACTTACAAGAAAGTGACATTTTTTCTAGAGATTTACGAACTATCCTTGCGAAGTCAGTATTTTGTAAACGTCCTTCAAGATCCTTTAATTCAATTACCGTTTCTGCTGTATTTATGAAATCAGCATCATCTGCATATAGTAGATGTGTACTTCTACATCAACATAATTTTATTATTTAATTTTTTCATTTCATTTCTAGTATCGGTGAATAAATATAGCATACGATATTGAAAGTTACTATCTTAAGATATCTCAACAGTAAAATCCTCCTGCCTTTACAGCTTTGGACGCCCTAAAGGTTGATTTTCAATGCTGCTTTTTTTGTGCTGTTTTTTAAAGGGCTCTCTGACCTAATTATCAGATATTAAACAAATGCTTCGATCTTTTATTTCAGTGACTTTTTCAACAAAATCTAAAAATACAGAAGCTTACATTCCAATATTTATACCTTTTACTTTTTACATTCATATCCTATACTATTTGACAGCAAACTTAGTTTGACAAAATCTTACGCAATGCAGAAACGCATTTATAGTATAATTACAATACAGTACATATAAGATAAGTTTACACAAAGTTTAGACATTGTCAGCCAACAGGGGAAAATTTTTTGTGTAGTCCAAAACATATAAAACTAATATAAATAAACCCAGAAAAAAAAAATTTAAACTTAAACTCATTTCAACAATGTATTTTTTGTTAGTTATTAAAAATCCATTTAAAAAAAGGCAGGTAATAAAAGTTGAGGTAATAATTAACAATGTTACATACAAAATTCTGCTCATCGTCTTCAACATTGTCCCATTAATTGTCATTTTCTGTCAAAATAAAATAATCAAAATAATTATGTTTATCATTTCAACTATATCACTAAAACAAGTCTTAATTTGAAAAATAAAATATATAGCATAGCTTTACCTTGATTTGTTGTTTCATCGTCAGATGTAACAGATGAATTATCTGTTTCATTGTTAAGTGATTCAGGTTTATTATATAGTCTGGAAGATTGAACTTAATTTTCCTTGTTTTTTGATGTGCTTGAAGGAGAAGTTGATTCAATTTCAATGTCCACATGATGAGTGGAATCCGCTTTATTTCCCACATGATAAGACACAATTGGGGTAACTTGATTTACAAATTCTTTTTCAAGAATGTTATTGCATTCAGATCTAACAGGGTTATGCACCTCAGTATTGCTGTTCCCTAATAAGCTGCAGGTTGAGGGAAAATCCTGGGAACCTTCTAAACCAATGCCACTAAATTTAACTATGGTAAAAAAAAAAATTAACTTGAAACTAAAATTTTATATCAGAGCACTATTTAAGTAATGTCTTAAATAAGTAATACTAATAAACAAAAATAAAAGTATGTAGTATATATTTCTAGTTTTATAATATATATATATATATATATATATATATATATATATATATATATATATATATATATATATATATATATATATATATATATATATATATATATATACACAAATATATACTTTAAACTTATTATTGTTTATATTATGTAATACATATTTACATGGATTTTTCAAAATTTCTTTAAAAGTAACAACTACTATTTGTTTT